TTGTTGTCAGGGCGACTATGTAGAACGCACCTAGTCCGAAGTCGTCTGCCAGAGTAGTCGTCATGATTCCAAGCATCAGACAATGGACTTGGTACATTCTCAAACGTTTCGCCGGCATCATAGTCAACATCATCAGTCAGTTTTGTCAATCTCTGCACCAAACTATGAACTCGTCGAAGGGACAATTGAAGTTAATCCCTGATGCGGCCACACTCGGTTTGCCACAAAAGGGCACACATTTTGATGATTGGAATGCGAGCAAGTGAGAAGTTGTGATAGAGACGGCAGTGGGATAAGAGGGTAAAGAGTAGATAGATAGACAATGACAGAAAGAGGAGTGATAGTGTAACCGTTTCCGGCAGAACGGTTGTCAAGGTATTGACTTTACTTGTCTCTTTGACGAGTTCGTAGGTTGGTGCGGAGAATGGTAATGCTGACTACGATGCCGGCGAAATGTTTGAGAACGTACCAAGTTCACCGTCAGATGCTGGGAGTCACGACAATTACTATGGCAAACGACTTCGGGCTAGGTGCCTCCTACATAGTCGCCCTGACCACAAGACTAAGATGCGACAACGAGGTCAACCGACTTCTTATTAATCATGTTTTAGGGGAGATTTTCAAATAGAGTTCGTCGAAAATATTCTTGAAAGTGCTGTCCTTTTTGTTTTGACTAGTCAAGAGTACATCCGCCATGAATTGAAGGCGTCAAGTTAAATGAAGTGCAAAGAAAGAGTGATCCTTTTCACTGGCATTGACCTCCTTCCGACGAAAGTCCACCCGTACATTTTGCGTCAACCCTTCCTTGCGGATCAAGAGACAACCGGTCATCGCCATGACAACTGGAAAAAGGCATATTCACCATTTGACCCCTGTCCCAGCAGAGGCAGTTGGTCCATCTGTACCTCAGACAAGTGTCGGGCTAGGCGTGAACACGACGCAAGGCCTAGTCACACCCAGGCTTGTCTGCTTATTCTTGCGGTGTGTAGACTGTAGGTTAGTGCAAAGGGGGCTTGAGAACGGTAGATTGTGATGTGATAATGGAGGAGAGGAGGGCTTTTTATGTGTCGTTTGGGCGCGACAGTCACAACGACACAAAACTTAGCAAGTCCTGAAGATATGAAGACCAAGATGTTGTGGCCTCTGGTATGTTCACAGTCTGCTTTCGATTCTTGGAAGTGGGTTGACCTCTATTTCAGACGACTTCGGACAAGGTGCCCTGACAACAAGACCAATTTGCGATAACGAGGTCAACCCACTTCGTTAAAATATTTTAGTACATTCGAGGAATCTGTTGGTGCATAAATGTTTAGCTTACTTCAATTTTTAGTAAAAGTGCTTGGAGAAGAGATTGTAAAGTCGATTCTACCAGAAGATGATGGCAGCTTCCTCTCGACCAGCTTCAGTGAAACGGTCTTGTTGATGTTATTTTCGAGGCAGTTTCCTTCGATTCCGATGAAAAAACGCGAAGCTTTCGTTCTTCATATGACCAACACCGTCAGACCCGTTAACTTGAATGTGGTTGTACCAACGATAGCCTACTCTGATGATGTAAATCTTGTATCATCGGAATCGAACAAGTTTGCGCCAGAAACCGTGTCAACCGGAATTTTCCAGAAAAGCCAGTCAACAGTCGGTAGAGAGGAAGGGCCCGTGATGGCAGAATCTTGACATTAAACACTTTCACTCGAAATGGAAGTGAGCTTAACGAAAGTACATCTCAAACGAGGAATAAATACTGGCGAAGAGTAACTGACTTGACTTGTCTCTTTGACGAGTTTGTAGTTTGGTGCGGAGAATTGTGATGCTGGGAGTCATGACAACTACTCTGGCAGACGACTTCGGACTAGGTGCGTTCTACTCAGTCGCCCTGACAACCAGACCAAGTTGCGACAACGAGGTCAACCCACTTCGGAAGTCGTGTCTGCGAATTGTGTTCTGCCAAAAATGGCGGCACTTACCGTCAGGAGCGACGACGACTCGTTGCACGGCCACATTTCGCGCTTGCAGTTCGGTCACATTGACGGACAGTCGAGTCTCGCCGCTGGCCAAGTTGTCGAGGCGCGCGACCTCGGCCTCGGTTACCAGAGGAGTTGCTATGCACAGGTAGACGCCAAACCAGGAGGATATGGAGTCTGGTGACGAGGTGGGAATGGACTTGGGCAACTCGAGGATGGCGCTGGCTGTCTGACCGGGCTCAGCCGTCACCGAGGCCAGTATTTCGTCCGTCTCCTCCTAACGTCGCGGGGTGTAGGCCAACGGAGAAGGGGAGGAGGGGAGGAGGGTGCAATGAAGATGGAAATCATTTAAAGCATCATTGGCTCGACAACTGGTGGGTACCGACGAGCGGTGCATGCACGCATGTGTCTGCTTGCCTGTACATACCAAAGGCAAGAAAGTATTTTCACAAAAAGACACAAAAAAGAATGTTTCCCAAGTCACTTTTTCGTCAATCAGAGGCCTCGACGCAATGACGTAAAATAGTCTCACCATAAAGCGAAGCAGGATCGCCGCGGAGTAAAGTGAAAACTGTTGGATTGTGCCAAGAGTTGATCGGTTCAGCGTCCAACGACCCCGAAGAACCGGTGCTCAGCTTTAGTCTGTCCCGTCGTGAAAGATGTGATCAGAGCAAGAGTCCATACTTTAGGAAATATCGCAAATATGTATACATGAACAAATAGCTTTTCTATTGGTTTAATCTATTTTATTCGCTATTTCCCAAACAATGGATTCTAGTTTAATTGAATATATGAAGACCAAGATGTTGTGGCCTCTGTCATGGTCGCATTATCCTTTCGATGTATAGAAGTGGGTA